GCACACGCACACAGAGGGAAGCCACGTTGGAGGAATGGCTTGGGAGGCGGAGGTTGGAGATGGAGGAACTTACCAGGAAGGAGACGAACCGAGTGTGAAGCGGCCAGCCTCAAGCGACCTTCAGGGCCTGGGTTTTCTGGTCGGTCTGAGTATTCTGCAAAGTTGGATGTGGCGTAGGGGAGGGAAACGGGGTAAAACAGGGTTCAGGTGCAGCCCGCAGTGCCCAGGCCTGACAGGGGATATCACAAAGAAATCAGGCCAAAAGGGCATTCCACTTCACCCACATCTTTTAGGGGCATTTTGGCAATTATCTCAACTTTGAGGGGTATAATGCACATTTTCCCTTCTTCAATTTCAGCTATTTCGGGGAAGCCAGTCCGTCACAGCCCCCTCGTTTGTTGTCAGCCCCAACCAATTCAATTACCTGTCAAATCTGGACAGAACGGCCTTTCAGGTCTTTTTTTTATTGTCATTATAGTATTACAGGGAACCCGTAGCAGCCACATCCGTGCTCAAGCCTCCAACGAGGGAACATGCGGCAGCTGCTCCCACCAGCAGGTGTGATACCTCTGCTACAGCAGGTGGGCGATACTGGCCAAGGGTCAGCCGGTAGCATCAGGACCGAGCTTCTTCGATGGGCCAGTCACTGTGCCTCCCCTCAGGTGGTGGTCCCCTCCGCATATGAACATAGCAGTCTCTGCCCACTCCGGAGGACCAACGGCATATCTCTAGGTGGCGCGCGCCAAGCTTGCCCAGGAAGGTGCATGAGGCCAATGAGGATTGAACCCAAGACCTCCAGACAGCCACTCCCGCGCCTTACCAACTGAGCTAGGCCGCTTGATGGCAGCTCTGTTTGACTATATATACTGCCGACCTTTTTATTCTTTCTTCAAGGTATTCTGCAGCATTATTATTTTTTAATTTCAGTGATTTTAGGGGAGCCAGACCGTCTGTTGTCCTCTTAGGGCGTCCTTAGACACTCCTCAGGGACGTCAAATCCCCAAGGAATTGTTCGTTCCACCTATCCTCGGGGATGCAATCCCAAAAAAAAAGTGAAAACACTCGTAAGGAAATTCCTCGGGCATTAGGAATATCCCCAGCCATTTCTTCCTTGTGCCCAAGGGACCTCGTCGCGAGGTCCCTTGGGCACAAGGAATCCCGATTTCACGGAGAGGAGAGGGCACACGGGTAGATAGACGTTACAGCCGAGAATCTGGATCTGGATCGTGGCGGCACCCTATTGGCTGAGGGCCTGAAACACAACTGGTTTTTTTTTTTTTCTTTTCTTATTCTTTTTTCTGACATCAGTCTTAGGAAATGTCCTCGGGCGACATCCCCGAGGACAGGTGGAACGAAGAGCCCAATTTTCCTTTTTATTTTTTATTTTTTATTTAAAGACAAATGATAACTGGGGCCGGGGTCCCCACAATTCAACCCGGTTCGAACCTCTGGCAGCATTAGCCAGTTTCGCTTTTTACGGCACCAAGAGGAACCGAATGTCATCAACATCTAAACGCCAGACTTCAGAAAATATGCTAACCTATGCAGTTCTAAGCTGAAGCAAGTACTACCAAGAAGACGAGCTAAGGTCTAATACAAGCAAAATCTTCAACCACATTTAAGAGAAACCCATCTACTTATGGCTTACTAAAATCGGAAAATCATATGTCTATCAACCCTAGTCTACTTACCACGCATACCACAAAAAGTTGTACTCACATTACCTTTCTCGCCAATATTCATTCCATCATAATATCACAAGGCTAAGGCACCTTGTCAGTAAACTCAGGCGGTCTAAGGAGCGACCTGCCATGGACTCACAGTACTTATACCAGCCAACTTTTGAACAGGAGTAGGAATCTTTCCTATTGCCCAAGGATTTCAATAGGAGTCTCTAAGGATGCCCTTATCCCTCTCTGCCTACGGTTTTTTTTTTTTTTTTTTACTTCTTTTTTCCTATAACACTCTTCATTCAATTCAAAAATAGGAACTTGCGGCCGGGCGGGGACCTCACAATTCGACCCGGGCTTATCCCGGCAGCATCAGCCGGTTTCCCATACAGCCATCAGGGCTGAGGCTGCTCCTGCACAATGATTTTTTTTTTTTTAAAGGGATGCACAATCATTTCAATTCAAACTGTTCTCCAAAATTGTCTATACTAATCTATCTCTGTCTCAGTCAGATTCTTAACCCTCTTACATATTATCACCCCGTTTTTCTACTCCTGGTAGCTATCCTCCTGCCATCTACTCTAATTACCCTGTAATTAACTACGCAGGCCCACACGGCCTGACACCGGCCTCGAGCGACCGGTCGGTTGGAACAACTGTTCCGATCACCCTATAACTACCGTCTTCACCTGAATAGAAGGCCCGGTCATTATAGCTGCATTTGGCCCAACATTCAGTCCAGATGCAGCGATAATGACTGGGCGTTCTATTCGGGTGAAAACGGTAGCCACACAGGCCTACTCCTGGTAGCTATCCCTCTCTCTCCTACTGCCTTCGGTTTTCGGGGCAGTTCGGTTTAACGACATATACTGCCGTCTTCTTTTTTTTCTTCAAGGTGTTCTACATCATTTTTCTTTCAACCGAATACCTTCTCTCGGATAGTTAGCTGTCTCTTATACACATCTAGATGTGTATAAGAGACAGCTCTAGTACTACTCTAGCTCCTATGGCGCCCAGCGCTGAAGACTACTGCTAACACTACTAGCGCCCAACGTTGAAGATACTACTAGCGCTACAACTACTCCTGCAGCGCTCCTCCAGAGTGCTGCTGCCGAATCCTGAAGACTACCTCATGCCTCCTGAACTGCACGAAAAGTGCCTGGGAAGTACCTAGGAACTACCTACCTGCCTGCAGGGCAGGCCAGTCCTATATAGTGTTGGCCCATCCGGGAGGCTGCTCCTGCCAATGTCGAAACGTGCCAGACCCTGGCGTTGAAGCTCTACCAGGGATTGTCTTGAAAACAGGCCCAAAATGGCCTGTGCTAAAACCCTGGTTTGGTGCCTGAGTTTCAGGGCAGGTCGATCCGATGAGGGCCTGAAAATGGCCCTCAATTTCGGGCTGAAAGCACTCAGGGCCGGAAAGGCCCTGATTTAGGCTGAAACGACACAGGGCCTGTAGGCCCTTGTTTTCAAGCTTTCAGGATGAAACGACACAGGGCCTGTTTGTCACAGCCGCTCGTTTGTTGTCCTCTTCTCTGTTACATGTTGCAGGCGCAGCATGTAACAGAGAAGAGGACAACAAACGCGCGACTGGGACAAACTGTTTCGTCGGGGTTTCACAGACTCATCAGGAGGCCGAACCCTCAATAGTCTGCAGAATCACCTAACCGATTACACTGTAAGTGATAATCCACCTTGACCCTGGTTGTGGTTAAGCATCAACGACTGCCCGACAACTGATACCCTGAGGTTGGGACCACCAGCCACTGCCCTCAAGGTACCTGTGACAAAATCAAAGCAGACTACCACTCACTCACACCAGATGGAAAACTCTACAGACTGCCAGTTCACACCCCATCACAAGCCAGCAAAACACCCATGAAAAAAAAGAAATCTCTGTCACAGGCAAAAAATACACTCCAGACATGCCACTGGCACCAGAGGTACAACATAACCTCGTGGTGACAGCCCCGACCACTACCACTCGACCTGACTGCAGAAAACTATAGCAGGGTACTAGCGAAGTCGTGGTATATATCATCAAACAAAGTTATATATACGTGAAGAAGAGAAGAACAAAGGAGAAAAACATAAATTCATTTTTTATCATCCTCCTTACAGCTACCTCTGTTCAGAACCTCTTGTGTACAAGGCCGCCCACGTGGATGTAGGTTGAGCGGCGGCTGGCCCCACCCCTGTGTGTCATATCGACCCACTTGCACACAGCCAAAGGGCAAAGAGGCAAAGAAAAGAGGAAGGGAATTGCCAAATTCAACAAAACAGCGGGCAATAAGCAACAGCACAAAAACAGATCCTGGATGGTAAGTCCCACATGCAAGCACTGCCCCTCCTTCACAGGCCAAAGGACGGGGCAAAACCACCCAGGACAAAACACTCTTATCTGCGAAAAAAGAATCCCAAATACATATCTATACACAGCAGATGGCCTTGTTCGTCATCAAGACGTTGGTATTCCTATTTCGACGCATGCTTCGCTAGTCCAAACTGAAATACTGGGACACCACTAACGGCAAAAAAAATATAAAGACAATCCCAGATGATGATACCCACCTATGAGCACCACCTCCCGTGGCTAGGCCGAACAAGGGGAACCAGCCAAACAAAACCCCGATGACAAGTCCCACATGAAAACACCGCCACGTGAACCGAACAACCCACATAAAAACACCGCCACGTGGACCGAACAACGAGACAAAACCAACCGGGATGCAGACAAAGGTGCCAAAAGTACCAACAATTCTGCCATAACCATACTTGAAAAACCGGAACCATACAGTAGGTCCGTAAAACGAAATACCCCAACAATGGGGAAGAGCAAAGCAAAAAGAAGAGAAAGAAGGATAGAAAGAAGAATTAGAAAGAATATGTATGCCGGCTTGTGATGGGGTGTGAACCAACAGTCTGTAGAGTTTTCCATCTGGTGTGGGTGATTGATAGTCTACTTTGATTTTGGTTAAGGTAGATTATCATTTACAGTGTAATCAGTGAGGGGATTCTGCAGACTGTTGAGGGTTCAGCCTCCTGATGAGTCGGTGNCTCTCTCTCTCTCTCTCTCTCTCTCTCTCTCTCTCTCTCTCTCACACACACACACACACACACACACACACACACACACACACACAGTCTCTCTCACCCATAATTCATATCGATCTAACGGTCCTGATTGAGGAGAGAGGAGGAGGGGACCACCTGTGTAATCGCCCAACCAACCAACCGCTCGATGCGGCGAAAGAAGACAGCGGCGCGTTCGCACGCCACGCAAGCAAAACGAGACAAAACAGGCAACGATGAAGGGAGCAAGGGGGGTACCGGGCAATACGCACGCGTACAGCGAGCGAGCGATCGACGTATCAGCGAGCTAGTGATCCGCTCCCGCCACCATTTAGTGTCATAACGGCCGGTACTACAACTTCGGGCCGCGATACGGACGCGCCTTCTTCTTCTCTTTCCTCTCGTTCATTTTCTTTATCCTCCTCGTCTTCCACCTCCTCCTCCTCCTCCTCCTCCTCCTCCTGCTCCTGCTGCTGCTGCTGATGCGACTTCCTTTGCCCTTAAGGGACGCGGGAAATCATCACACCTCCCCCCTGCTTTACCCGCCACGTGCCGCTCGCTTCTAGCAATTTCCCGCCCGATCGCACGCAGCGAAGAAGAGGCCAGCTCTCAGACATAACAGCCTTGCTGCCATAGCTTCGGCTTCTAGAGCTCCGCGTTGCCGTCAACCTAAAGCCATAGCCATCACGATTTTCGTGAAGCAATCATCACCATAGCCAGAGCCAGAGCGAGAGCCCGAGCCACTACCCACGGCCTCCCTCCACCGTTCACCAAACTCGAATTCCCGTGGAGAGTAGCGAACTACTCATCAGGGCATTTCACTCCCCAAAATACCACCTCCCTCCAGCACTCACCACTCTAACAAGACAAGACAAGACAAGGGGCCGAGGCCGCTAAAAAAAAAAAAAAAGAACACAACAACAAAAAATGGCAAGGCCGGGACGGTGAGCTGCTCACCGCTTTTGGTGGCAGCTCTATGGGTAGGGCAGCGCCCACAACCCCCCACCAAAAGCGGTAAGCAACTCACCATCCCGGCCGGTCCTAACCGTGGGCAAGGTCCCACTTGCGCCGATTAGGAGATCTCGGCCGTTGATCTTTGCTATCTACGGTCAGGATCTCTTAATTCGTGCAAGTGGGACCTAGCCCCGTCCTGGATGGTGAATTGCTGACCGCTTTTGGGTGGGAGCTCTACCGGCAGGGAAGCGTCCACAGCCCCCACGTTGCAGGCGGGGGAAACAGCGAACTAATACCTTTTTTTATTTATGTTTAATGACAGAACCAATATCTTTCTCTGCCGTTTGGCTAAGATCCCCGCCGCGTGCCAGAAAGAAAAAAAAAAAAAAAAAAAAAAGACCCCGTGCCTCGCTCTGTGGCTGTTACGGGGTAGGTTCAATAAAAAAAAAAGAGCAGGAAGGGCGTCCTCTCCAGATCTGACAGGTCATTGAATTGGTTGGGCTTAAAAAGAATTAGGGCCAGATCCCATCGGCAAGAGGATTGGAATAATTGTCTGAATCAGGACATGTCCCACGCAGAGATGCAGAAAAGCAGATCAATTACAGTTTTGTGCACCTCTCCACAAACACGTCCAGATTTCAGACACTTATTCCAATCGTTTCTGCCAGTGGAATCTCGCCCTTAGCCTTGAAAGAAACAAAGAAAGAAAAAAAGAACTTTTTTCTGTTCATCAGACAGTATCTGGATTCGAACGTCGGTTTCTTTGGGTGTAAGCCCATTGGTTTACCGCGTATGGCTCGGTTTACTGCTTTTTTTTCTTGATTTTCTTAGTTGCTCCTGGGTACTGCTTGGTCGGACTTCCAGGGGTCTAGATCGCTGACGGTCTTCTTGGTCTGAAATCCTGTTTCAGGGCCTGGTTCCACTGCTCGCCATCCGCCACCCTTCCACTACGTCGCCAACCGCCACGAAACGAGACCTGTCAGAAAATGCAAAAACATGTGCATGGCGGCCCCTCGCCAAGGCCTCTCATTTCTCCCGCGTGTCGCACAATTTTGTGGAGGGTGGTCGGAGTGACCTCTCTGTGACTTGGTTCCTGTGGCGCCCGCCCTGACACGGAGGGTCTGATGCATGGCCTGGCCTGTCCCATAGTGTGGGCGAGATTTCACCATCCCCCACAAAAGCAGAGTCCCGTAGAGCCGTTGTGGCGAGACATCATCACCGTTCCATTCACCCGCCATCAGAGCCGGCCGGGATAGTTATCGCATTGCCCATGGGAGTGGCGAGGAAATGGAACCATGCGCCGTTTTTGGCTGCGAAACTGCTATTTTCCGGACCGCCACGGTCCACCAGAGCTCATGGTGAATGGCAAGCAGTGGAACGAGGCCCTCAATGTGAGGGACACCGGACCGGTTTTCCGGTCTGTTTAATGGAATGGAATGGCGACCTAGGTATGAACCTGGCTGGAGTGGCCAGATCATAGCGGAAATGTCACCTGTTTAAACCACTAGTACCTTTGTGGGTTCGGAATAGCGGGCCTCTGACCTTTCAGGAGGCCGAAACGAAAAGACGGCCGCCGTTAGATTTGTCAATGGCAACCGGCAGCCGGTGTCCGAGTCGGGCCCGGCCTCCTACTTCTTCGGGTGCTGGGGTTTCCCCTCATTTCTGAGGGCCTTGCCACACCACTCTTGAGAAAGAGTTTTCAAGAGTTGCGGTGCCGCCACACCGCCTCTTGAGAGGTTGGATCGGAAAAAAACTTCAAGCGCTGTCAGAACGCGGGTTCAAGAGTCGCGCTTGAGGAACCCAAAATCCCCGCCTGCAACACTCCATATGTCAAGCGTCCTCGACCCGGTGGTCGACGGACGCTTGATTCCCAAGAGCTGTCAGGTCTTCAATTCTGACAGCGGTCAGTGATTTCGGCCTCCGCTTTCAAGAGTCGACTCATGTGATTTCGGCCACCGGGTCCGTCCCAGGCCGCCGGTTAGCAATTCTCAAGAGTCGGCCTCCTTGCCACACACAACTCTTGAAAGTCCTCCAGCGGTCGGGGCCTTTTTCTCAAGCGTCCGTTTGTCAAGAGGTCTGTGTGGCCAAGAGCCCGAAACTCTTGAAACACGGACTCCTGAGAAAATCTGACAACTCTTGAGACATTTCGCATTTTCAAGAGTGGTGTTGCGAGGCCCTGAAGCGGCAAAGGTACTCGTGGTTTAAAAAAAAAAAGTTAAGAAAAAAGTGAAAAAGACAAAAATGTGGCGGGTGCATCCGGCCATATTCTAGCAGGAAGTTCATTCTCATTTTGCACATTTCGAAAGAGGTGTGGCCATGCCCTTTAGACCATAGCTCTGAGGAGGGGGGGAGAAAGAAGTCACCAATGGGCTGAGCTCAGGACACGCTCACATTGCGGTACCAAATCCGCATAATCCCCAGAATCCCAAAAAATAGTGTCGAGGGATAGTCACACCAGGATCTTTTTTTTTTTTTTTTTTTTTTGGGGGGGGGACAAATGCTCCAGTCTATTCGTGGGGAGCAACACGTGCTGGGAACCGGGCCCAGCGTCCCATATAGAATTATACAAAAGGTTTGAAATACCAGGGCCCTTACCTGGTTTCGGCTAGGAACAATCTGAGAACTATAAAATAGATTTTAGAAAATTTAGGAAAAACATGGATAACTGCTAACCTATTACTCGGCTACTCAAGCAGCACTTACTAGATCAAAGCGGAAAGCCACAGAAGCTCGTTGAATGCTCAGAACCCCTGGAATCCCCAGCAAAACATTCTAAGAATCTCTAACACTGTCTTATTCCCTGCCGAGCTTCCCCAGGCCTCATGCCCCCATCCTGCTAGGTTACAGGGCAACACAACTCACCCCAGCTCCGACAAGCGTCGTACAGCTCCGACAAGCGTCGTACTGACAGCAACCCTCGGTTTTCCCTTGGAATGCCCGACCCAAGGCATCCCCAGCTCTCTCTACCAGGCCTCACGCTCCTGCTATCACAGGTTACAGGGCAACCCCCCAGCACCGGCCAGCGTCGTTCTGGCATCGAAAAAACGCAGATCCATGAATATAACAGCATTAAAAAAACCTAAAATGAGTTGCAAGAGGTGCCCAGAATACTAAGGAACTCTCAAGACTTTCCTCATGAGATAGGATAGATCCGAAAAGACTTGGAAAAATATGAGAGCGGGGAGTCGAAACTGAAACTGCCTGCTATCCAAAAACTTCCCCCCTCAACAGATGGAACGTCGGTCCAGGCTTTCAGTCCTCGTACCAGAACTCACTTGATCTTATACCCCCTTCTGCTAGGGTAACAGGGCACCAGTCCTCGTACCGGAACTCACTTGATCTTATACCCCCTTCTGCTAGGGTAACATGGCACCACAACCCTCCCCAGTACTGACCAACCTATTTCTGACGGACAGGAAGTGACTTCCTCCCTCGACAAATCCCTTCCCCTAACACAGGTTACAGGGTCAATACCCCAACATCGGCTACGTCGAACGGTCTGGTTATGCCTTCCACCCTCAGCATAACTCCACAAGCCTCAAGCTCCCCCTATGTCACAGAGCAAAAGCTCCAGCACCGGCCTGTGTCGTCCCAACATCGTCCTTCTAACCTACTTACCTTAACAAACAACCTTCCTCTGTTGAGAGCCCCCTTACTACCTTCCATCCTCCAATTATTGCTCCCCCCACTTCCCTCCTTTTTTGAGATACCAGGGTCATTACCTGGCTTCGGTTAAGAAGAAACAGAAGAACATGAAAACGAAATCCACCCACGATCCAGCTCCTTCCCCACACTGCAGAGGGAAGACCGCTGCCCAGGCATTCGATCGTACCAGAACACGCTAAATCTCATACCACCCTTGCTAGAGTGACAGGACAACACCAACTGCCCCAGTACCAACCGAACTAGTTCTGACGGACAGGAAGTGTCTTCCTCCCTCGACAAATTCCTTAGCTGCACAGCCCCCAAAGTTACAGGGTCACTGCCCCGGCAACAACTACGTTGAACAAGATGGTTATGCCTTCCACCCTCGGCATAGCTCCAATAGTCTCAAGCTCCCCCTGGTTACAGAGCACCTGCTCCAGCACCGACCATTGTCACCCCACCCTGCCCTTCTAATAGACCTACCATCCTGAACACCAATCCGTCCTCTGCCCGAGCACCAACCTTCCCCTTCCTACTTATCGAATCACAATTCAAGAGTTTTTAGTTTCAAAAATTTACGAAAATAAGATACCAAAATGTGAATTAAAAAAAAAAGAAAACTTCACCTATAGCCAAAAGGAGGACAGGAGGGAGAAGTTATCCTCTCTTCAGATGCAGGTTCTGGCAATCACCCGGGACTCCACAACACATAATATACTCAGTATGTGACGATCAAAGTTACTCCCTCCCTCAAAAAGTGAACCCCCTGTTCCTACAGTGCCCCCACCGGGAGGCACCCCCTCTCCTCTCGGCCCCAGTTCGGAACAGCCTATAAGCGGACACTTCAACCCCCTAAAAGGCATACAATTCCCCCTAGAGCATATCTCAAAGTCTAAAGTTCCCCCTTTCCTTCTGCCCCACTCCCTCCAACCAAGGCAGCCCTCTCATCCTCACACCCTGCTATAAGCAGCCACCCCCTTGCCTTCTCACCCTAACTGCCAGTGCTGATCCAACCCCAAATCAGCCTGGCCCAAAAAAAGACA